CGGGCGTAACGAGCCGCCGACGAGCGCTTGGCCGGTGCTTTGTGCGCGAACACCATGGGAACAAAATCCGGGTGGTCTCGATCAGACAACGGTTTCCTTGCACATAAGCAAGCCTCGGGACGGAGATTGAAATGGAAGCCGCACTTGCTTTCAAGAAAGTGTTTGCCTCAGAAACGGTCGTTCGTGTTGGTGTTAATTGCACCATTTCGGTGCAATTAACACCAACAAAGCTTCGCGGCATGCTCAAATGCTATGACGCCCATGCGAAACGTGCGCGCTTTTGCCCACACCCCCCGGCTCCGGCGCGATCGCAGCGCCGCCGCAGCTCCGTGACGTCAAGCCCGCGTGTCGGTCTATACACCTTTCCAAAAAACACTCGACCCCAGGGGCAACAAACCGTTTTCGAGCCCAGTCACTGAGTTTGAGGCTAGACTCTCACCGGCGTCCCTCCTAACCCTAACCGAGTGGACTGTGACTTCAATAGGCGCAGCCTGCGTAGGTGCAGTTTCAAACGCTGCTGGCGGCTAAATTTTCGTCTTTTCCCGCTATATTTTGTGTTTCATGGTACATGTATTTTCCCGAGGACATTGAGAAAGCATTGCGTCACATTTAAAGAAACAAAAAAGTAAAAAAAAAAAATCTAAACTATTTTTGTTGGGTACACGCGCGACAGAACGAATGCGACTGGAATGAATAGTTCTAGTTATTTATTTTTTTCTTGCGATAAGTTTTGACGGCACCGCTGGATTCGCCGCATGCGAAACGACAAAGGGCTTTGCTGTCAAAAATAAATTGCAACAGAAGAGGGCCGAAAGGCATGCATTTTTCACGCTCACAAATAACGTGTTTACCGATGGACAGGACACGGACATACAATTGAGGAAGTGTTAACATTCGTACGTACCACACGATGCAGCGTTATCCGAAACGAATTTATTTGAGAAACATCTCAAATAACACAGTCACAGTCGACGACAGTCACATCTTGACGATCGGACTGAATCCGGGATGACTTCGTTTTGGGGCACGTTTTGGGGAGAGCTTCCTTTTTTCACAACCGCACCAAGGCAAAGAAACAAACGTGACTGACCCGTTTCTCACCCCAACCCGGACAACTGTTTTTGGAGATGGCTGAGGATTTTACGCGGATTATCTCAGGGAGGGGGGAGAACAATGTTCGCAAAATCGCGTCGAGGGTCGTTCGACGTCCTTCACGTCCTTCGTTTCGCGTGAATGTCGAGCAGGAAAGCTTGAATGGCAGGCACTTACCAGCCTTATTTCTCACAATGGAAGATAACACAGAAAGGGTACGCAGCACGCATAAAAAAAATTAAGTGGAAACTATTAAGAGGGGCGAGAAAACGTCGAATGCAAAACCGCAAAAACGTAGGTAGAGAACCGCGCTGAGCGGGTCTTCACAGTCCCAGAGAGTGGCAGAAAATTTCTAGCTGATAGAGGGCGCGAGAGTCGCACCAACCGCATCAGCATCAGCAACATGGCGGCGGCCTAGGAGCGGTTTTTGGAAAGGTGTATACGTGCCAAGCGAACGAAGGACATGTGGAAAATCAAGAGAGACGGCAAGAACTACGCAGTAACACTGGATAAGTAACTCCTTGTGCTTGCCGACGATCAAAATAAATTGAAAGTCGCGTAATATAGTTTGATTTGCAATAAGTAAGTACTGCTTTATTCTTTCTGCTCATGAATACATGCGAAGATGCTTGTTCTGTGTTCAAATCATCTCCAGATCTTTGCAAATAGAGGGAAGCCAGAGAACAGGTGTGCGATAAAAACTGCCCATCATAGGAAATAATAGGAAAATACACCTTTCGTAGCCCACGTACTTTATTATTTACGTTTCGAACGTTTTTTTTTTAGCCACTCGTAAAGATGCACGACGGGGGCATTTTCATATAGTGAGAGGACAGGTATATTAGCAATATATAAGCACCAACGGAATGCTGGCGAACTTTGAACACACTCTACATTCCTTTCGATTGCTATTTTGCTTGGAATCGTCGCTCGTTTCTATACCTGCCATGAAACAGGTTTGGGTCTGAAATACAGCGAAGTTTAACATCGTTCAGTGGTAAAGGGAAAATGCTGTAACTAAAGCCATTACACTTTCGCAATATTAATAAAGGTACATACTATCCGGTACAACCGCAATAACAAAAGTTATTAATGTTATTTTCCGGCGACGAGACAAAATTCACGCGCGTTTTCCCATAGGAATACACAGGAAGACTGGAAAAGTAGACTGCATGCTGTCTGCTTCAATTTGCAACCGGAAGTCCCGTAGACACTAGCGCCAGCTGAGCCTCTAGCGTTTATTACAACCACCTCGCAATGATTTCGCCATTTTTTTTTTATAAACCTCGTGATAATTGTAGGTACTCATTGAAAAGGTGGGGCGTTATCTTGTAAACATCTAGTTTTTCGCACATGTAGCACAGACCACCGTATTCCGTAACGCACTTTGTGATATAACTTAATTGATATGCAAACAAACAATGGGATCTCAGGAAAAAGAACTCTGGTTTATCCGCTATCGATTTCCGACAGCCGGCGCAGCCCGAACCGAAGCTAACTTTCACGGGCACGCTGCGCTTTATTTTAGCCCAGTATGAATAGCTCACAAATTGCGCGGCATGGCAGCTCGCTTGCAACTGCTACACATAGGTTGATTACGATGCTTATGAAACAAGAATATAGATGGCGCTTCGAACGACGGTTGACGGATTGAAGTGAGTGAGGGGGGGTACCCCCCTCAGCGGGAGTTCCACAACTGAGGTAATCTAGTAACGTTGGTTTACGGCAACGTTATTAGATTAGCTCAGTTACGGAACTGCTCATAGACGCTGCATGCACGAACAGTACCCCCCGCTCACTCACCACGACTCGCCAAGCGTCGCTCGACGTGCCGCCGGACCAGAGCCGGACGGCTGCTTTAGTAACTGCAGCGTATTCTATGGGAATCAGGCACGGTGAAATCGGGTCGGGATCGCTGGAATCGCTACGTACGTTTCGAAGCACGGCGTCTAGATGGCGCTTCATCTCTGCTCTTTGGAACGCACAGTTATGAAACGAAAATCTAGATGGCGCTTCGAACGACACTTGGCGGATTGAAGTGAGTGAGGGGGGGCAGAGCCGTATATGTAGAGAGTTTGGAAATGAGGAGGCGCCATTGGCCGAAAGCGGGCTGGGCGTGCTCCAGGGCGTCTTCAGAAATTCGAATGTGACCAACCAGAAGCCGGAAATAATACCCTGGCGGTGGTCGCGAGAAACAAACCTGATAACTGCATTAGAGTAACTCTCGATGACTGAAAATATGGTACACGTGATGTTTCAATCACGCTCATCCAAAATGATGGTGGAAGAGCGCGACTAGCGAAACGGTCGACATAATCCGTACGCCAAGCGCCGAGGGCCGGGAATCTGCCGTCCGAGCAGTCACACTCTGTCTGAGAAAAACAGAGCTGAGCGGCGCATTCGTTTCTTACATCTTTCTGCGTGATCATGATCAAAACAACACGTGACCCTATTATCAACCACGAAGAGTTACTACACTTCACTCTTACGCGCTTATTAAAACCATTTACGAACATATACCTTTGATCAGAACTGTTTCTCGCTACCACCGCTAGGGGATTCTTTTCGGCTTCTGGTTGGTCAAGAGAGCATGCCAAGCTAGAGCACTATATAGCTCCTTCGGAGCAGAGTAGCGCAATCTAGAACGCCGCCTCTCGGCGACTAGCGGCGAACGCCCGGAGGTTCCAACTGCGGTCAGAAATGCATGGAGAACGTGAGACAATCGCTATTTCTTCAGTATTGTGGGGGTGTACGGAGTGGAAATTGTTTTTGACATAATAATGGAACATTTTAGAATAATTTGCGCTAAGTTTTGTGCCCCGCAAGGAGCTGACTTTTTTTGAAAAATTGCTTGAGCGGCATCATGCAGCAGACGACACGGCGACGTCACACCATTCACGTGACCCGCTCCGGCCAACCCGAAAAGCCCATCTCCGCTGCAAGCAAAAATCGTCTGCTTCAAACGCCATTGCCTTGGAAATTGCCTTCTCAAAATTTGCACACGCATCCGATATTATTAAAACTTTGATAAAGTGTTTAGTGCTTTACTAACTTCACGGCAGACTAGTTTTGAAAAGTGTGAACTCGCCGTTCATTTTTTAATCAGCCGTGTTGTATCGATGTCCGTGTATTCTCCCATAGGGCGGGTCGCCTCCTGGAACCCTGAGTACCACGTGACTCGCGCCGAGCTGCTCTGTCTGCCATGTTGTCGGCGAAACACGCGGATCAAAGGATTGCGCTACTCTGCTCCGTAGGAGCTATATAGTGCTCTATGCCAAGCCTCTTTTCGAGTCTGCCTCACGCCCTGGCTTTGCCCGCACCTCCCATTGACCAAACTCTCTACATATACGGCTCTGAGGGGGGGTACCCCCTTCCGCTTGAGTTCCACAGCTGAGGTAATCTAGTAACGTTGGTTTACGGCCACTCAAGCGACCAATGACGTCATGAAGGAGGTTATTTTTTGCTTGTTTTTGTCATTTTAATTTGCCTGTAACTTTTAAAATAAAGCGAAATTCGAGAAAAGAAAAGTTTCATTAAGGTACTACGTTCAGTGCGCTCAGGTTCGGTGCAAATTAAGAACTACTCAATAAGTCGTTGCAGGGTTATGTGATTTAGTTAATAAAAACATAAAACTGACCAGTAACAGTTTTTTTTTTTTTCTTTAAACATGCGGTTTCACGCGGCTTTTGTGCTAAAATGCGCGCAGAAATCAGCTGCTCCGAAAATAAAGGTTTAAAAAATATAGAAAAATATGCAGGGGTATTTAAAAAATTTCCAGCGAAACAGTACCTAAATTAGGCAGATGAGTACGGCTAGAATTGGTGCGAACCTCTGGCTGATCCTGCAACACTGACACGAAAAACACGCGAGCCATTTGAATCCGATCCATATCCAACTGAATCCGAAACCAGGTTTTCTGATGAACGAGAAAAGTTCTGTCGCCCAGCGCGGTTGTCTGCATCCTTCGCTTGCGCTGATTTGGGAACGATTGTTTCGCGCGGTTTCGCGCGGGCTGCTGCTGACCGCGAACGACGTCGGCATGACAACGGAGCAAGTAAATCTCTGAGCCCAACAAGTACGCTGAGAGCCGCGTCGTTCACTGCAATGGATGTGAAAGTCGTCAACGCCAAAGTGGTGGTACTTGGATCTCAAGGTTTGCGTTTGCCTGGAGTGCATTTTCCTCTCCTTCTTGCCACGCCTTTAGGCGTCGTTGTGCAGCTCTTTGTTAGCGCGTGTGCTTGAACCCCTCATGTGTCGCTGTCGCTCGTAAAATGGTGTAGGATTTTATGACTAAACGCTGTAGTTGCTGATGTCGTCTTATGTTTACATGCGAAAGTAACCGAGCGAAGTGCGAATGCCGCGCACGTCGATTTTTATCTCTCCAAGATTAGCTGCTCCGTCCACGCACTCCTCGTTCCACTTAGGGCCCTTGCTCTGTCGTGGGTCCTATTTTCTGAAGCATGAGCGCTTTGAGCAAGTTTCTATCGGCTTCTGGAGTGTTTATTTAATCGGGAAGTAGAGTTCCTCCCTGTCTTGTTTTAGATATAGCTATAGAGTAAAGCTATACGCGCTGCGTAGTGCACTTCGGCCGGAAATGGCTATACGCACTACGCAAAACTCGTATAGGCTCTTTGCATTGACGTCACATCGCATACTTTTGAACACCATGTAAAAGGAGGAGAGGGAAGCTGCTTTTGTAAGAATTTTGAGTGACAGGTTAATCTATAATCTTCTGGGAGAATAGCGACGCCTGTGAAAATCCGGGCGGCTTAAAGGAGGATCTTGATAAGTGGGGAGCTCCTTCTTCCCCTTTTCTCTGGAGGTCATCGGAAATGACGTCATGTGCAAGCCACGTATAAAACGAATGGTTACAACGAGTTTTCTAAGCGGTAGCATAGCATAGTGATAAGGTGTCTGCTTAATACGTAAGTGGACGCGGGTTCGATCCGCGGTGGGGGCTTACTTTTTTTTCTCGAACGTTTTGTTTTGTCGAGGCATTTGGCGATATTTACGATGAACACTGAAAGAACGGAACTTTACAGAACTAAATTGTATGGGACTCCCTTTCCGGAGGTGCGATCGGGGACAGCGGGGCTTGGGTTGCCGGCTGGACGCCGCGAAGCAGCGTGTACGGGTTACGTTTTCTAATTGTAGCCGTACACTGTCGCTGCGAAGCGGTGTGGATGCAGGCAGGGGTGTGCGTTAACGAGCTCTCCAGTGATACATGCGCCGTTCGAAAAGGGTGACCCAAGCGGCATGAGCTTTCTGCGTAGTGCGTATAGCCATTTCCGGCCGAAGTGCACTACGTAGTGCGTATAGCTTTACTCTAACTAATAAGGGTCAATTAAGAAGGTGAAATTAAATTACCCGGTGCCTTGTTCAATTTTCATTTAAGGGGAGCACCGGTGAAATATTGATGGCCATAGGTTTTTATAAAACTTTTACCATGCTCTAAATATCCACTCCTAAGTATGTCTATAAAATATCAAAATATTAATTTTCTTTTGAGAAAACGAATTTTGAAATTTATGTGTACACGTCCGAATGGCAATAGCTCTCGCTCTATTGGCAAAACCGAGCAACGGTGGCGCTGGGATCGATTGTGCCGTCAAATGTTGTACCCGACAGCAGACACCCCCTCCTTATAGCATTTTCGATTGCAGTGATAGTGAGCGTCTGTAGTCTTGCAGGTAATGTCTGCTTTAGGCTAGTCATGGCATCTGATGTCAGGTGGGGGAACTGGTGCTGTGCTGTGGAGTGCAGTAACAATCATAAAATAGCACAGCATTTCGATCGGAAATCTCACTGATTTCCTATTGAGAAGTCTGCGACAGAAGTTGGTGCGAGCAGTCCGACGCAAATGCTGGTGCCCAGTATTCTCGTCACGCGATCAAACAGTTCGCATTGTGCTAAAAAAAAAAAGAACCTTCTATATCATTTTGCTTCTGAAGCATCATCTGGGTCCACAAGTCGGCAGTCCGCAAGTGTAGCCGTGGCAGGTTGTCCCCGTGGAGGCAATGACAGCGGATCAAATGTGATCGGCGAATTGTCTATCATCTCGTGCTGAAAATCTTGATACATTTGCTGATCATTGCTTGACTCGGACAAGCTTGATAAACCATAGTCTATTTTTTCCCGCGGATGATTGCGACAACCTTTTGGTGGCTTCTGACGCTGTGCAAGACAGGCTCAAGCTGCCCTTGTGCTGACTGCTGATGTTTATACATCATCTAACGTCGCAACAAAATGGCAGACAAGTAAAGTTGCAAGTTAGTTTCTGTTTCAATTTTATCATACTTCTGCAATTAAGAATTATTTAAAGAGTTGGGGAAAATTTATTTTCTGCTCTAGGCTCAGTTTCTTGTGCTCTTTTGGAAAATATATTTAGTTGAAAACGTTAAAATTGATGCCGGAGCTCGCCCCTCTAATGAATTGCTGGCTACATGTTTCTTGGCATTAAAGTGATTATTGTTAGCCCAAATATTGCACTGCCACAACAGATTATGTTGGAAAATATTTTTAACATATAAGGTATGTCAAAATAGCCTAAGTTCCATAATGAGTCTTTCGTAATTGGTCACTCCCAGTCAGACAGTTGAAGAGTGCTCACTGCAAGTATTCTAGTTAAGTAGATTTCTCTGCAGTAGGTTTATCGTGCCATTTCTCTAGTGTTTTGTCATATAGTCTGGCTACATGCTTGTTTTCCTAGTACCCTGGATGTAAACAGCTTTTTCTTCTTTGAAACAAATAAAAAGCTACTATCTACTTCAGCCCTGGACAGAAATCACAATTTACATGGTCTTACATGCAACATGTCTCCCTCTTAACACACAGATTTTTATGCGTTCTCGACATATGCAGCAAATAAAGTAGTGTGTGTGTTTTTTTGTTTTTTTTTTATACACAGCAATTTTAAAGGGAAGATGGGGCACTTCTGCATTTGAGAAAAACGCTTGAATTGCATTCATTTGACCTTTAGAATAACAGGTATCACAATTATATTTGAATGTGACGCGCCGGAGAGCCATAAGAGCAATTTCAAGATAGGGCTGAAGCCCCGCCACCCTAGCCTTGGGCAGCCAAAAGATCCGTTGGTGACGTCACGTACAGCGACTTTCTTTCGCGTTTTCTCGCGATTAACAATACTTGCGCAGCAAATGGTTCCGGTATTCGGGTTCAGGGGGTAAAAATACACTAGAATTCACTTCTAACTTGTTTTTTTAAAGAACCTCCGTAGCCTCCTACTGCAGAAAGCATTTGGCAATGGCATGCCTCCATTATTCAGCGTGCCAACCATTACTTGCCCTATAAATGTGTATGACAAGATTGATGTCAAGACCTAACAAGCTCAAACTTTCCTTGCATCTATATTTTTGTTGTCATTTTCACCAGGCGAAACTTTTTAAGTGTAAAACCTCTGTCAATAAGAAATGAGAATTGAATCTTCTGGCACCAACAGGGGCTGCCTTGATGGCCAACTGTCATGCTTGTTGCAGATGACCATAACTACATCATTGCTTTGCTTCACTGGTGCTCTCATCAGCTTACCTTGCCCACAAATTTTACCTTTTAAAGAGCACAAAGAATAAACATACTGGGAACTACTTTGTTTCAGTCAGAATGCATTCAACTGTAAATAATGGGAGCACTTTAATCTTCACCCTAATCTGAGGAAAAAGAAATTACCTGAAAACCAATAAGAATTGCAAAGGCAACAAGTTTTGCATGAACCCTGAAGCATCCCCGAGATGTAACTGTCAAAGGTAAACACTTCTTCCAAAACCATTCCCTCAGGGGCTATGTCTCTTCTGGCTTGTGTGAGGTCCACTGAATAACTGTGACATACACTGATCATATCCAAAGCATTATGACCACTCCTGTGCTGTTGGAGTGGGTGTGCCAAGCTGACGGTGCTATTCGTAATATCTACCAGTTGCGGGAGGTAGATACCTGCTGCTCAGGATTTAAGTGACTTCGACGATGAGTAGATCATGATGGCCTGATGGCCCAGAACAGGTATTTTGGAAACTGAAAACAGGGTTTCTAGCGACCGGGAAAACCGGGAATAGTCAGGGAAATTTTAATCACCGGAAAAAATCGGGGAATTGTCAGGGAAATTGTCAAAAAGCAAGCCCAGTCAGGGAAAACGAGCCGGAAACGCCATCGAGTGCCCCGAGCGAAAACTTGAGGACTTGGGGGCAGAAATAATATAGGCAATAAATTCTGCTTAGAGTGAGGCGCTGGCTCTCCTCCCCCGATGTAGAGTGTGCTATTAATGCAAAGAGAATCGAGAAATCCAGTTGAAGCCATGGATGGGATTGGATTGAGAGTGTGACACTAAACTAGATCCAGTTAGAGCTACTAGATTCAGTGACAAATGGGAAAGCTGCAGACTCCAATCCAATCCAAGCCTTATGACAAAAGTATCCGAAAGTGCACCTGGCAGCCATGTTGCCATTTGGTTATTGTTGTATGTGGTTGAGCGTCGTGTTTTCATCGTGTTTCCGGAAGGGGCCTTTTCACCGACGATGTCAGCGGCAAGAAAGCGCTCATTTAATCTTGGCTGGACGAACCCAAATATTTCGGAATATGCAAGTTAGATTAGGCCCGTGCAAGATAGTCTTCATTGTGCTCAATGGCTTGTGTTGTAATGTTATATATTTAACCGCCTCTAGGGTGGTCAGGGAATTTCACCTGAAATTGTCTGGGAAAACCTGGAAAAGTCAGGGAATTTCAAAAAAATAATTTGCTAGACACCCCGTGAAAAGCTTGTCTGATGTTCGCGCTAAACCAGCTAAACTCATTCATGGCTTCAGCCTTGCTTTATATCGCTAATCACAATGCCAAAATTGTGCTACAATGGTTCCAAGACCCTGATGATGAATTCCACTTAGTGTCCTGGCCGCCTAACTCGCCAGGTATCAATCCCATGGTGCACATGTGGGATGGGACTGCTTCCCAGCTCGTAAACCGCCTCCTCGTAATTTTTGCAGGAATTGTGCAACCTGTGCTTGAAAATCGGGTACAATTCTCCTCAAGCCACTTACCAAGGACTTAGTTAGAATTTGTGTCAAGATGCGTTGCAACTGTTTTGACCTGCCAAAGGTGGATCAACACGGTATTAAATGGGTGGTCATAATGTTTTGGCTAATT